GCAAAAACATAAGCCAGCTCAAATTCTCCCCCATCCCTGCACAATTCGAAAGGATAAAATCTGAAGCAAACTGTTGGAAGCATCTGAAATCTTTCCAAATCTGGAATCTTGTTTAAAATTGTTTTTATTGGTTTTAGACAAGAGGAATATCAAACAAGAAAGAGACCAATGAAAAAGCCATAAACAATATTAGGTTTTGAGTAAAATTACTGAGTGACTGAACACACCGGAGGGAAGGGTGGTCACCTAGAACTTGGCGAGTAAATGATGTTATAGTTCAGAATTTATCTGGTTAAATTCCCTGGTGTGTGTCACCTGCTGACGTCAGCTTACAGCTGGGCGGAGACAGAAGCTTTAGAAGCTGGGCGGGACTATTCCCTGTTTGTTCAGTCCCACTCTGTGTTTCGTGGGGAAAAGCCGCAGGTCTGGCATGGCTGCAAATAGCCCTGGTAATTCCTGAGAAATGTTGGAATAAAAGCTGTAAATAGACGAACCTGTCTATGTGTGTTTGTCTGGAAGCTGAACCAAGCAACGTGACAGTTCTACACCGCTGTGCGGAAACTCTGCTGAGCCGTGACGGAGAGGTGCTGCGGAAGTGTGCCGGGCAGCCATATATCGCTAATCGAGGTTCGTAAATCAATTAGCGGGAGTCACGGCTAACTACCAAATGTCACAAATGAAGCCTCTTTAGTTTGTACAGTCTCTCCAGAAAGAGGACTGTTTGGAACGTGTTGCCTGCCAGTTCATGGATAAACAAGATGAAGGAGAACCAAACCAAACTTGTTAGGCTTGGCCAGTCCATGGATCCATCTGCACTATAAGGTTAAAACAGTACCGTACAACTTTAAGTAGACTTGGTGTCCCCCAAAGACATCTGGGATGTCTCCAGTGGGCATCACCAACGAGCAGTGATATTCTTCAGCTTGGGGGGAGGGAGGCAGTTGTTTGCTTAGATGGCTCCTATGTTTCCTCATGAAGTAATTCTGGCTTCTCTGACCTCAGGCTGCAAACATCCTGGCCCAACTGTTCATTAACACTTCTGATATTGTGTCAGAGAGTAAATAAAGTGCTGGCACCATATTTTACCAGACAGTAGCTGTCTTGGAGCTGGTGCATTCCAGGTACTTTTTGACTACACCTACACAGCCCCAGTCAGCAAAGCCGTACTTCTAGAGACTTCTGGTATTCACCACACGTTTGCCATGCTTTAGTGTGCGTCTCTGTGGTACGCTTACTTGAGAGAAATTAGATTTAGGATGGGAGTGCTAAGGAGGCCAGGCCTTCACGGAGCCAAGATGGCGGCCTAGTTCCCAGTCTCATGGCCCTGCAGGACCGTATACAAGCCAAAAACCCTCTTGTCCACTTATGAGACCATTCATTCAACATTAAAGGTAAAGGGTAAAGGGAACCCTGACCATTAGGTCCAGTCGTGACCGACTCTGGGGTTGTGGTGCTCATCTCGCTTTATTGGCCAAGGGAGCTGGCGTACAGCTTCCGGGTCATGTGGCCAGCATGACTAAGCCGCTTCTGGCAAACCAGAGCAGCGCATGGAAATGCCGTTTACCTTCCCGCCAGAGCAGTACTTATTTATCTACTTGCACTTTGACGTGCTTTCGAACTGCTAGGTTGGCAGGAGCAGGGACCGAGCAACAGGAGCTCACTCCATTGTGGGGATTCGAACCAGTGGATTTGTAACTGGCTGACTGACCGAACCCAAAGGGTGCTCATCAATGGTTCCTCTTCATCCTGGAGAAGAGTGACTAGTGGGGTGCCACAGGGTTCTGTCTTGGGCCCGGTCTTATTCAACATCTTCATCAATGACTTGGATGATGGACTCAAGGGCATCCTGATCAAATTCGCAGATGACACCAAACTGGGAGGGGTGGCTAACACCCCAGAGGACAGGATCACACTTCAAAACGACCTTGACAGATTAGAGAACTGGGCAAAAGCAAACAAGATGAATTTTAACAGGGAGAAATGTAAAGTATTGCACTTGGGCAAAAAAAATGAGAGGCACAAATACAAGATCGGTGACACCTGGCTTGAGAGCAGTACATGTGAAAAGGATCTAGGTGTATTGGTTAACCACAAACTTGACATGAGCCAACAGTGTGATGCGGCAGCTAAAAAAGCCAATGCAATTCTGGGCTGCATCAATAGGAGCATAGCATCTAGATCAAGGGAAGTAATAGTGCCACTGTATTCTGCTCTGGTCAGACCTCACCTGGAGTACTGTGTCCAGTTCTGGGCACCACAATTCAAGAAGGACACTGACAAACTGGAACGTGTCCAGAGGAGGGCCACCAAAATGGTCAAAGGCCTGGAAACGATGTCTTATGAGGAACGGCTAAGGGAGCTGGGCATGTTTAGCCTGGAGAAGAGGAGGTTAAGGGGTGATATGATAGCCATGTTCAAATATATAAAAGGATGTCACATAGAGGAGGGAGAAAGGTTGTTTTCTGCTGCTCCAGACAAGCGTACACGGAGCAATGGAACCAAACTACAAGAAAGAAGATTCCACCTAAACATTAGGAAGAACTTCCTGACAGTAAGAGCTGTTCGACAGTGGAATTTGCTGCCCAAGGAGTGTGGTGGAGTCTCCTTCTTTGGAGGTCTTTAAGCAGAGGCTTGACAACCATATGTCAGGAGTGCTCTGATGGTGTTTCCTGCTTGGCAGGGGGTTGGACTCGATGGCCCTTGTGGTCTCTTCCAACTCTATGATTCTATGATTCTATGATTCTATGATTCTATGATTCTATGATTCTATGAACCGCCGAACTTCTGATCGGCAAGTCCTAGGCTCTGTGGTTTAACCCACAGCGCCACCTGTGTCCCTTCATTCAACATTATACACAAATAAAATGATACAGACATCTGATCTGAGATCAGAAAACCCCTTCCCCGCCACCTCCCAGTTTGAATGATTTAAAGGGGTTGGAGATTTTTTAAAAATCATTTAAAAATTGTTATATGTACATTTTTTCATTACTTTTGTATAAGTTAAGTTTGTTTTTAAGGGGAGAGGGTCAGGGCTTCCTCGGGAGTGCACCCTAGCCAATATAATGGCTGGGACAGGTACCACTGGGGCAGAGACAATGGAACACTCAATCTCAGTGATCATGGGCAGGAGGAAGAGTTACACTAGGATCAGATTATGTTTTTACTGAGGAGTCAGGTTTAGTCACTATCTGAAGACTCCCCTCGCCTCTGTGTCAGGTCTTGGCCAGGCAGATACAGGTATCAACAAGGGTGTCCCACATGACCTTAAGGTAGTGCTGTGCAAAGCCAGGTCAATGACTAATAAGACCAACACCATCCATGATTTGATAATGGATGAGGGAATTGACCTGGCAGAATGCCTTCTCAGTCTTATTTTCCAAACCTTCCTATTTTCATGAACCTTCTGGTCTGTTTCAACTTCTTCTGCAATTGATGTGCCAACTAAGCTGAAATCTAAACCCAAGTTGCAACACGAGTAGATTATTAACTGCGGAAGGGTTTTCTGTTTTGTTTTGGAAATGCTTCTCAGATTACCTTTTTGTGACAAGCTACACCTTCTGAAATTCTATTGAAGGCGCAGGAGCTCCTGCCCCACCTCTATTCCCAAATTGCAACACCAGTAGATCCAGGATTCCTCAGCCTGCTGCTCTAGACAACCTGGCTTGCTATTGCAGATTCATTTGCAATTTCTGGCACCATGAACTCATTCTCCAGGAAGTTCCCAAATTGCACCTGTGCGTAACAAAAACAATTTCTTGATTTATGCAATTCTCCAGCTTTAAATAGTGGAGCCTCGAAAGAAGGTACATCAGCTGCATTGGAATCACTCCCACAGAGGAAAAGGTAAGCTTCATACAGACTTTTCTCTCTTCTGTTAACTGAGGAAGGGTTTTTAATCTTAGAACATCCATATTTACATCTAAGGGACACAGGCTTGGGGTGGTGGTACAATGCTAGATTTCCATGGAGAGGAACCAAATTCAAGAAATGTATTTTAAGAGCACTTATTCTGGTTACCTCTCCATACATACTTTATAAGTCAATTTAAAAAATTATCAACACAGCACCCCAAAAAAGGTGGACATCACTTTAGCACAGATACTTTATACATAGGCTCATCTATTTGTTTATTTGTATGGGGGAAGGGGGCAACATATGTAGCCCCCCAAAAAGCAGTGTCTTCTTTGTGGTGGTGACACTGTGTTCCCTGGGATGGGAATGAGTTGGAGTAATATGGCAGTGAGGTCAGGGAATCTCATTCACTTGCCCCTAAGCTCCAGGAAACCTATCTGAACTAAATAATAAGGAAATAATATGGATCTTATGACTGGAACTGTTGACAGTTCAAAACTTGACTGGCATTGAAAGTCCTGCTAAAACAGGTCCTTCTTAGAGTATTTGTTGTTAAGTTCACACTACAGCTTATCTAACTTATGTAACTACTGATCTAATAAAGTAAAATGAAACTATATACAGAGAATCATTCTATCTCGCCCTGCTCTTCAGCCATCTTGGCCAGAGCAGCAGCCTGTACGCCACACACAAACCTTCCCTCCAGAGCCTGCCTTATAAAGAAGCCTGTTGTTAAGGGCAAAACTTTTTCAAGGAACATTTCAAGTCAGTGTTTAGAAGCCACACTGACATCAAGATCGTATTCTCTATCTTGAGCTTTTTAGAAAGGTGGGGTGTAGACGTTTTAAATAAAATTGAAGTAACGTGGTATTGAAGGCACAGTGAATACCTTTCTATGGAGATATTCATCCTTTAGACCAGTGTTTCCCAACCTTGTGCCTCCAGCTGTTTTTGGACTACAATTCCCATCATCCCTTGCCACTGGTCTTGCTAGTCAGGGATGATGGGAGTTGTAGTTCAAAAACAGCTGGAGGCACAAGGTTGGGAAACACTGCTTTAGACAAAAATAAGACCAATAAGAAGGGATTATATACAAAGGAGTCCACCAGAAGAATTAACCTGATGATATTTGTCCCAGATATCACAATCAGCACCATGACTACCCTTGTGGATGCAATCAACAAATTTGCTTTTGATTTACACAAGAAGATTGACGGCACTTCGGGGAACATCTTCTTCTCCCCCATGAGCATTGCAGCCGCTTTGGGCATGGTCTCTCTTGGAGCCAGAGGAGACACTGCTAAGCAGATGGAGAAGGTAGGAAACCGCCCACCACCACCGCTGTGTGTATGCCAAGTGTCATATTATGCAAATGCCTCCTATTTCAAAGATCAGATAATACAATGGGTGGTAGTTGACTGAGTCCCAGTCAGAGGAGACCCATTTAAAGAAGTTAGGGAAAAGATGGCCACCCGATTCTCCTGAACCATGTGGAATCTTCTCCTGCTAGCCACTCTTCCTCCTTGATGGCTTTCATTAGGTTCCTTTGTGATAAAAAGGAAATGTGTTAGTTTTGACTCTGAGAAAGAAGAAGAAGAAGAAGAGTTTGGATTTGATATCCCGCTTTATCACTACCCGAAGGAGTCTCAAGGCGGCTAACATTCTCCTTTCCCTTCCTCCCCCACAACAAACACTCTGTGAGGTGAGTGGGGCTGAGAGACTTCAGAGAAGTGTGACTAGCCCAAGGTCACCCAGCAGCTGCATGTGGAGGAGTGGGGAAGCGAACCTGGTTCACCAGATTACGAGTCCACCGCTCTGAACCACTACACCACACTGGCTTCCCCCCAAAAAAGAGTCTCCCCCCCAAAAAAAAATCTGACGTCGGGTGAAGGACCAACTATTAGTTATATGATACCCATTGTCAGTTGTGGGAAGTGGTTTTCAGTCCAAGTGCAGCATTCCCTTGTGGGAAACTTTCTAAGGGGTTGCATGCCAGTGCTGGGTGTGGCCAGAGACAAAAGTGGGCGGGGACAAAAGTGGGGAAAGGAGACAGGGTGATAGATGTGACTCTGTCCTCTGTGTTAGGAAATTTCCGTTCCACCTTAAAAGAGTCAGGCATGATTGTTGTGTGTCACATGCCTGTTTACTTTCTCGCTGGGAACTTCCGTTTTGTATATAGCTTTTGTTTCGGCTGTTTTCCTGGACACAGAAGCAAGCAGTCATGTTTTTCCTTTGTTCTGATCTACATTGAATAAAGCTGTAAATATGCTCTCCTGTCTGCATCCTTTCGTTGTGGAAACTCTGCTGAAAGGGTATGGAGTGTCTTGGAATGTCTCTGAGGCTCGTGTTGCTAATTGACTGATGCTGTTCCACGGGATGGTCTGGAGATAACTTGGAGGCCTGCCTGATGCCTCCGTCTCCCTGGCAGTATCCCAACACTCTGTACCGTAGGTGATATTCCAGCCCCACAAAAGCCAGAGATTTCTACACAAACACACACATTTCTCCATGAAGCTAAGCAAGATGTGTTATCACAGCTCAGGGACACGTGGTTCCCAACCCCTGTCCTAAACTCCAGTAAGCCCCCTGCTCAAATGAAGTGTTTTCATTGTACTGGAGGAGGATGAAAAGAAGATGGCAAAGTGACTTGGAGTAGATCTGTGGTTTCTCATTCAACATTTTGTGTTGCAGGTCCTTCACTTCAATGAGGTCACTATATCTGGAAGCTCTCCAGGCTCGGCTGAAAAAGTACTGGCATATCATTTCTGTTTCACTAAGGGCTTTTTTTTGGGGGGGGAAATATGGATCTAGGGACGCGGGTGGAGCTGTGGGTTAAACCACAGAGCCTAGGACTTGCCGATCAGAAGGTCGGCGGTTCGAATCCCCGCGACGGGGTGAGCTCCCATTGCTCGGTCCCTGCTCCTGCCAACCTAGCAGTTCGAAAGCACGTCAAGTGCAAGTAGATAAATATGTACTGCTCCGGCAGGAAGGTAAACGGCGTTTCCATGCACTGCTCTGGTTCGCTAGAAGTGGCTTTGTCATGCTGGCCACATGACCCGGAAGCTGTACGCCGGCTCCCTCAGCCAGTAAAGCGAGATGAGCACCACAACCCCAGAGTCGGCCACGACTGGACCTTATGGTCAGGGGTCCCTTTACCTTTAATATGGGTCTAGCAGATGATCCTTTCAAAATGTGAGATAATCTGAAATTATAAACAGCTACAGCCATAGCAGCCAACTCCTAGGGGCCGAGTGGGATTCAGCCCCCCAATAAAATATTTGAGGGGGCAACAAAATTTTCAGGGAAATGGTGTGCATGCACCACAGCATGTGACTGATTATGTGGGCTGGGACTTACCTTTCTCCCACCCCACCCCAAATATTTTATTCAAGTTGGCACCCCTGGGTGCAGCTGTGAGGCTCAGCTTTCTTGGAAGTCAAGCTGGTGTAATGTAGTGACTAAGAATTCAAGCTGCAAAGGCCTGGTCAAAATCTCACCTTAGCCAAGAACCATGGTTTAGCTCTTAGGTATGGTTCTTCCCATCTCCAGGCCCCACCCTCATCTGCAATGCAGAGATTATAACACAGTTGAAAAGGCTTCAATTTGGATAACCAAAGTCATATATGAAAAGCAGTTGTGGTCAGCTACATGCTGTTCCTGTTCACCAGATAGCTACTATATACCGAGAGTTAGAGGGGGGAAGGGAAGGAAGCGAGGAGGTGGGTGCTGTGAACCCAATAGTCTCCCCACCCCCTCCTACCTTCTGGTTAGCAGGCAGCAATTCAGGAGACATCTGAAGGCAGCCCTGCCCCACTGACCCCTACTGAAGGAAAGCACTTTGAACATTATTCCCCAACAGAAATACACACACTTTCAAAGACTGCTCCAAGGCAGTCCTGGCATTTTGGGAGCAATTCAGTTTGGTTCAGGATGCCTTGGAGGGGGGCACGTGCTTCCATTCAGAAAAGCCCCCAATTTCTCCATTATCTGCTCACTTTGACTCCAGATTTGGGATTGGTCCTCATAATGGTTTGGAGGGTGTTGGGAGCCGTATTTACGAGAATGTTGATGTACTGTTAAACAGCCTTTGCTATTTAAAGGATACACAGTGTGACAGACCGGGAGGACCACACATTCAATTCAAAGCGCTCTTAGCAGCTATCAACCATCATGACAAAAATTTTGAACTGAGCATTGCCAATAGGCTTTATGGAGAAGAGAAATACACATTTCTACAGGTAAGGAAGAACACTTTCTATGCTCCTCCCTGTGTAGACACATTGCTGTTGGATGAGCAGCACAGACCACATGAAATTGATAGCAATGAGTCCACTTCCTTTTACTGATGCCTATTTAGTATCTCTTTTCTTGACAGTGGAGGGTGTTTTAAATGGTACATGGGAGCAGTTGTAGGGCCTTTGAAGTTTGGTCTTTAGTCAGTCAGTCAGTCAGTCAGTCAATCAGTTTTATTGCACATAGCCAAAGGCTGCCGTGATGTCCACAGAATCATTCAACAATTAAAAGAAAATATACTGAATTGATACAAAAAACTTAACATTTATATTATCAGGACATTTTCTACTCTAAACAGAGCTATAAAAGTACCTTAATATACAAATTAAGACATTAAACAATAAAATTTATAAGCTAAAATTATCACATGGCCACTAATATATTAAAAATGTTAATTAATACAATGTGCAATTATATTCAGAGTTTGATGATAAAGATAGAATATAGCTTGATGTAGATAGGGTCAAATAAATTCATCTCCTTTACAGTTGGCTACCTTGGCTATATAATTTGCTCTAATTTTCCTAGCGGCAGTTGCAAAGAGTGCTACACGCCAGCTCACATACTTATCTGTGTCTGCGAGGAAATATACAATCGTGTCAGAGGGGTTCTGGCCAGGGGACCTTGATGTTTGGTCTTTAATGTTTTACGTTTTATTTTGTTTTTAATATTCTGTTGGGAGCCACTCAGAGTGGCTGGGGCAACCCAGTCCAATGGACAGCATTTAAATAATAAAAATGTTTGTTATTATTGATGTATAATAGGCTGTGCATTGTATTCAACAAAGCCAGTGCATGATTCACACTTGTGCACCAGAAGTGTCTCTCCTCCCTTCTGCACCTCGGATCTGCTCTGGGGGTTAACCCAAGTTTCTGAAGTAGATCTGAAGCACTGTGGGGGAAACACAGCGGGGAGAGGAGACACAGGGGAAGTTATACAGTGGTACCTCGGGTTAAGTACTTAATTCGTTCCGGAGGTCCGTTCTTAACCTGAAACTGTTCTTAACCTGAAGCACCACTTTAGCTAATGGGGCCTCCTGCTGCTGCCACGCCGCCGGAGCCTGATTTCTGTTCTCATCCTGAAGCAAAGTTCTTAACCTGAAGCACTATTTCTGGGTTAGCGGAGTCTGTAACCTGAAGTGTATGTAACCTGAAGCGTATGTAACCCGAGGTACCACTGTATTGTACAAATGAAACTTGTTGAGCCCATGCTCAACAAGTTTCTCCCCTTGGGAGAAAGGTGGGGCACAAATATATTAAATCAGCAAATGAGTTCAACTCCATCTTTGTCTGACATTCGACGTAAGAGGGGGGAAGTCTCATGAAAGAAAATGAAGGCTTACATAAGTCAGGAAGAGCACAGTAGCGTTTAATGGGGTGGCTCAGGTAGGACAGCATTGCTCACCTGGCTTCTGAACACTGAGCAACATTGGTGGTTCCTGAGAGGGAGGGGAAGGCACAGATAGTTTGGTGTGCAGCAGAAAAAGCAGAATGGACCTATGGCTTCACCACTGTGAGCTCCATGTGTCTCACCTCCAAACTGTTAGTTACCAGAAGAACTGAGCGACGCTCAGTGTCCAGAAGGCACCTCCTTGAGGAACATTCTGGAAAAGCAAAGGAACCGTCTACTGCTTCTGAAAAGGGAAATGGCTCCGTAAATCCCACAGTATTAATCGTACCTTGGAAGTTGAACAGCTCAGTTTCCGAAAGATTTGGCTCCCAAACGTCACAAACCCAGAAGTGTGTGTTCCGGTTTGTGAACTATAATTGGAAGCCAAACATCCAGCGGGGCTTCCATTGCTTCCGATTGGCTGCAGGAGCTTCCTGCAGCCAATCAGAAGCCGCGCTTTGGTTTTCAAACGTTTTGTAAGTCGAACAGACTTCCAGAACAGATTCCGTTCGACGTCCAAAGTATGACTGTATTCTATATTTCTTTTTAACTAAGCTTTCTACTTCTCTTCAACAGCAGGCACTAAACAACTAGTAGTAGGAGAACAACATGGGGAAATTCATATGCCATACCAAACAATAAATCCCCGTTTATTACATATATATGACAGCCATAGCTTCTGCTGCCCTGGGCTGATTTGGAGGAAGGGATGGCATACAAATTCAATGAAATTGTTTAAATAATAATAATTGCATTAATGTTTGTTATTATTATTATTCTATACAGCAATTCTTACATTGCACGAAGGAGATGTACCATGCTGAGTTGCAAAAAGTGGACTTTGAGAAAAAACCAGAGGAAGCTAGAAATGAGATTAACACTTGGGTTGAAAAGCAAACAAATGGTAAAGGAACAGAAGTTATGTCTCACTTATTTGGAAATGGATCAGCTAAGGAAAGGGATATGGGAGAAATCTGTTCACTTTACATTTTAAAGTGAACTTACCTAATTCACACTTCGGATGCAAACATGTGGACCAGAAATGCATCAAGCACTTGAAATCCACGCATCTACAATTTTTTGATTGCAGTTTTCCATTCCAAAAAATGCATACGAAAAAGCATATATATTGAGGAAAGGTGGGCAAAAAAAAAGCAAGTTAGTGAAAATGACATACAAGAATGTGTTCTATTGAAGAAAATTGCTTGCAAAAAAGTGTATGAGGCAAAATTCCATGCAAAAAAAATGCATTCAAATGTTCATGTGGTCTTTTTTAAACAAATAAATAAATCACAAGCTAAATGCTAAAATGGCGGGAAAGTAATTGAAGATTGAGAAACTGAATGGCATTGAAAGATTTGATTCCCAGAAGAACTGAGCAGCCCACAGAATTCTAATATGTACAAAAGTAATGAACCCTTTAATGGTGTGTTGCACATGGTGGATAAGCTTCATGTTTTAGATGTTACACGGTTGAAAATTTCATTGTCATTTTGCCGATTAAATATTTTGCCTTGAATCTGTCTTTTAAAAAGGTAAAATCAAGGACCTGATGGCCAGTGGATCTATTGACACAACAACTATCTTGGTCTTAGCGAATGCTATATATTTTAAAGGAAACTGGAAGTCCCAATTTGATAAGAAACTCACCAAGGAAGCACCTTTCTGGATTAACGAGGTACAATATGCCAAAAGGTTGGTGGAGATGGGAATGCCATTTATTGTGGACAGCTATCTGTCCAAGGGGGTGAGCTCCCATTTTTCGGTCCCAGCTCCTGCCAACCTAGCAGTTCGAAAACATGTTAGTGCAAGTAGATAAATAGGTGGGAAGGTAAACGGCGTTTCCGTGCACTGCTCTGGTTCACCAGAAGCAGCTTAATCATGCTGGCCACATGACCCGGAAGCTGTACGCCGGCTCCTTTGGCTAATAAAGCAAGATCAGCGCCGCAACCTCAGAGTCGTCTGTGACTGGACCTAATGGTCAGGGGTCCCTTTACCTTTATCTGTCCAAAAGTAATAACTGGAGGTCCATCCAAACTTCCCGCCTGAGATAAAATGGGATTGTGCCTCCCTCTGCCGCTGTCCTCATGCCCCTTTCACCTCCGCTGCTCACCCGAATGCTCCCCTCTCTTGCCAGACTTGGAATGCTCCCACTTTTTGCTGATCTGAGTGAGAGGGAGGAGCATGCCAAAAGGCAGCAGAGGCAGTGGGGAAGGCAAGATTCTTCATCCTTCATTAAACAACTTAGGACTGCAATACTTCTTTCCATATGAACCTACCCGGACCCTGAGATCATCTTCTGAGGCCCTCCTTCGTGTGCCTCCTCCTCGAGAGGTCCAGAGGGTGGCAACATGAGAACAGGCCTTTTCTGAAGTGGCTCCCCGTCTGTGGAATGCTCTCCCCAGGGAAGTTCGCCTGGCGCCTTCACTATACACCTTTAGGCACCAGGAAAAACATTCCTTTTTAACCAGGCCTTTGGTTGATCTGATTGACATCCTATGCCCTTTTAAAATGTGGCTCTTTTTGGGGGGGTATTATTGCTTTTATTTTTATTTTATATACTGTGATCTTTTTATGCGAACTGCCCTGAGACCTCTGGGCATAGGGCAGTATAAAATTCAATAAATAATAATAATAATCCTGCCTCATTGGTGGGCCAGCTCTAACTAGAGCATTGTACGTTGGGGATACAGAATACATTTGTGTTTTATACCAGAGTGGTCCGATGTTCGAAGGTGCTAAACAAAAAAGGTACAACACTGGAAATCATTGCAACTATCCTACTATACTCAGTACTTCATATGGCTTATGGCTTATAGGAACGGCTAAGGGAGCTGGGCATGTTTAGCCTGGAGAAGAGGAGGTTAAGGGGTGATATGATAGCCATGTTCAAATATATAAAAGGATGTCACATAGAGGAGGGAGAAAGGTTGTTTTCTGCTGCTCCAGAGAAGCGGACACGGAGCAATGGATCCAAACTACAAGAAAGAAGATTCCACCTAAACATTAGGAAGAACTTCCTGACAGTAAGAGCTGTTCGACAGTGGAATTTGCTGCCCAGGAGTGTGGTGGAGTCTCCTTCTTTGGAGGTCTTTAAGCAGAGGCTTGACAACCATATGTCAGGAGTGCTCTGATGGTGTTTCCTGCTTGACAGGGGGTTGGACTCGATGGCCCTTGTGGTCTCTTCCATCTCTATGATTCTATGATTCTATGATTCTGTGATTCTATGATTCTATGATTCTATGATTCTAGCCACCTCTTTTACACACACGAAAAATGACATTTTATGCTTAACTACTTGCTTTATTCACTACAGAATCAGAGCAAAAATGTGCCAATGATGAATATGGAAGGTGAATTCAATGTGGCCTATATACAAAATCCATCACTGCAAATACTTGAGCTTCCCTATGATAAGAATGACATGAGTATGTTCATTCTACTGCCAGACAAGAAAGAATTACACCAGGTAATTTGCTTTGATTTCTGAAAAGGATCAAGGAATTGAAGTCAACTTTCAAAACTTTGTAGCGGGCATACATACATACATACATTGCTTTAAAAAAAACCTGATCAATGAGAATAAATTGTTCAACTGATTAGTCAACTGAAGAAATCTTGGAGAAATATAGAGATATATGAACTGTAGCTTTTGTCCTGTCAGTTGCCAATTCTGTTTTATTTTGTAATTTTAACAGACATAGAGCAGGGCAATCCAGTAGGCCTGCATTGTCAATGTCTGTTAATACTAGTGTATCTTTGGATGTGCCCAGGGACACAGGTGGTGCTGTGGTCTAAACCACTAAGCCTCCTGGGCTTCAGGTCAGATGTCCTGTATACCTGAAGGAGCATCTCCACCCCCATGAGATCCAGCGCCGAGGGCCTTCTGGCGGTTCCCTCATTGTGAGAAGTGAGGTTACAGGGAACTAGACAGAGGGCCTTCTCAGTAGTGGCACCCACCCTGTGGAACACCCTCTCTTCAGATGTGAAGGAAATAAGCAGCTATCCTATCTTTAAAAGACATCTGAAGGCTGCCCTGTTTAGGGAAGTTTTTAATATTTAATGCTGTATTGTTTTGAACACTTGATTGGGGGCCGCCCAGAGTGGCTGGGGAGACCCAGCCAGATGGGCAGAGTATAAATAATAAATTATTATTATATTCGAATCCACACGGCGGGGTGAGCTCCCGTTGCTTTGTCTCAGCTCCTGCCAACCTAGGAGTTTGAAAGCATACCAGTGCTGCAGTGGGAAGGTAAACAGTGTTTCTGTGCACTCTGGTTTCCATCACAGTGTCTCGTTGCGCCAGAAGCGCTTTAGTCCTGCTGGCCACATGACCCGGAAAGCTGTCTGGAGACAAACACCGGCTCCCTCGGCCTGAAAGCAAATACAAGCACTACACCCCATAGTCGAATTCAACTGGACTTAACAGTCCAGAAGTCCTTTACCCCTTTACCTTTACCATCTTTGTATGGGGCTGCAACAAGGGGACTTATTAACAACCATATTCTTGATTACTCTGCAACTTCTGTCTGATAGTGGGACAGAGAGACACCACACCCTTGGCACAAAGGAGGTTTGGACTGTTATGTTTACAGAGCAATTTCATAGAATCCCGTTGTTCTCCTTGGGGCTTTAAGCCCTGGGAAATGTGTATAGGATTAGTACACTTTTCAATGACCCAGAATGTGCCCATTGTGTCTTTTAAAACAGAAGTTAAATCAAGGACTCTAAGCAGAGACAATACATGCTGCTGAACTTAAGGATTCTCCTCTCCTCATTTGTGAAAACATTTCCACCGATATTTTTTTAAAGAAACCACAATTTTCACAGACAAATTTAATGGTTTTCCAAAACATTTTTGGGGGGAGGGTGTAAACAATATTGGAGCTTTTAGACATATTCTTTGCCTACGCTTTAATAAATAAACATTTGTCTTTCTCTTTTTCCCACGTCTTTTTCTGGGGGCAGATATTTAATTGGCATTGATTATTATTTTTACTTGACAGCTTGAAAAGGAACTCACCTATGCAAAATTTCAAGAATGGACCAGTTCAAAAAACATGCAGAAGCAAAAGCTGGACATTTATGTGCCGAAGTTCAAGCTGGAAGAAACTTATGAGCTCAACAAACTTTTGGTAGCTTTAGGAATGACTGATGTGTTCACACGAGGAAAGGCTGATTTGTCCGGCATGTCAGGAAGCAAAAACCTGTTTGTGTCCAGGGCCATTCATAAATCTTATGTCGTGGTCAATGAAGAAGGCACAGAAGCAGCAGCTGCCACTGGGGTGGGCTTTTCTACCACAAGCATGCCAATGCAATTCAGAGCTGATCACCCCTTCCTTTTCTTTGTAAGAGACAAGAAAAGCCAGAGCATCCTAGTTTTGGGCGGGTATTATTCACCTTAACAGGTGCTTAAATGATCACATGCATGCCCTTTGCATTTGTTGCAAGCCCAGGGTGTTAGAAGTGCCGAAACAAAAATCATATATTCTACTTTCTGTTTAGCTAATATTTCCGGGTTTTCATCTCCTAAAAAAAGTACAAATACCTAAGATGGACCTCTTTCAGCTTATGTAGGCAGACTCACTTTAATGTACAACATGGGGCTTTAAACAGAGGAAATGGGGAGAGGGAGATAAGGAGGGAGCAGCCCTGCTTCAAAAAATAAAAATAAAACACATATCTAAAAACCAAAAGCAGTACCACTGTATTATTATTATTAAATAGGGTGCCCCTGTTTTCAGTGGAGAAATATCGGAGGGTATGGAACAGTAGCCCTGCTTTCAAACAGAGTTTGGATCTGGTGTAACTTTATGATGGCTTGATTTACAAACAACTTGCTTTATTGATTCTTGTGCATACTATTTCCCCCTTCACTGACTTCAGTGCCTTTTCGAGGTTTTGGAGAAGAAACTTTCCCAGTTCCACATAAAGGCAGCAGAGATGAAGCGTGTCACATTTTGCCCACAAAACATGTACTATATATACCGCTACAGTTGTACCTTGGGTCCCGAATGCCCTGCAACTCAGACGTTTTGGCTCCCGAACATTACAAACCCGGAAGTTAGTGTTTACGAAACGTTCTTTTGGAGCCCAAAGGTCTGACAGGGCTTCTACGGCTTCTGATTGGCTGCAGGAGCTTCCTGCAGCCAATCAGAAGCCACAATTTGGTTTTGGAACGTTTTGGAACGGATTCCGTTCAACTTCCAAGGTATGACTGTACTTTCAATATGCTCACAAAAGGCAGTCATTCCTTCCATCCAATCTGCAGGGTCATAAATAAAAGAATTAGCCAACTCCACCCCCCACCCCCCATACACATCACATGGGAAACTCTTGCTCCAAATCTGACACGGATGTCACAAACGTATTCCGCAACTGTCCTTGGACAGGCCCTGCCAGAAATAATTGCATTGTTCCTTCCAGTTGGGAGTCAGTTACACCCAATCTTCTGCGAAGACCATCCCATAGGCTGGGTGGAATTTGTATTATTATTATTTAATAATATATCAAAATAAAGACATGGGTTCCCCCCTCAGGGTTACAAGAACAGGAACAAAAGGGAAGGGCAGTGGAAAGGAAAAGTAGAAGAGGAATCCTCTGAATATTATGAGAGATAGACTAGTTGGAGCCAGATTGCTTTGAAGGGGAGATGGCCTTTCTGAAGCCACTAGTTCTCTGGCCAGTGATTGGGGCTGTGGCGTCCTTCCCCTCCCCTCAGCAGCCCCAGGACCAGTGAGAAAGTGAACCAGATTTGTCTCTACAATGGAGAGAAAAGACTATGGTGGTCCTTAGGCTCTGTTCTGTATTTCTCTGTGTCCATATAGACTAGGAGCAGTCAGTTCCATGAAAAGTGCTTGGCAGAGACTGGATAGCCAGTCCTTTCAATGCAAATCATCATCATCATCATCATCCCACCCATCTGGGCGCCTCCCAACAGAATATTAAAAACACGATAAAACATCAAACATTAAAAACTTCCCTAAAGAGGGCTGCCTTTAGATGTCTTCTAAAAGTCAGGTAGTTGTTTATTTCCTTGACATCCGATGGGAGGGCGTTCCACAGGGCGGGCGCCACTACCGAGAAGGCCTTCTGCCTGGTTCTCTGTAACCTCACTTCTCACAGCGAGGGAACCTCCAGAAGGCCCTCGGAGATGGACCGGGCTGAACAATGGGGGTGGAGACGCACCTTCAGGTATACTGGGCTGCATTGGCGGAGCCAGCTGCTCTGCCACCTGTAGCAGCGTGCACCTGGGGGTGTGGCTAGCCATCTGTGGGAGCGGGGCTAGCATCCCAGGGGCGGGGCGAGCGTCCCAGGGGGTGCGCATCTCAGGGGTGAGCTGCCCGTGATGAGCGTCCCAGGGGGTGGGGCAGCGATGTCACCCCCCTAAGGGATGACACCTGGGGCGGACCGCACCCACCTTGCTCTGCTGGGCCGAGGCTTTAGTCATCATAGAATCATAGAGTTGGAAGAGACCACAAGGGCCATCAAGTCCAACACCCTGCCAAGCAGGAAACACAATCAGCGCACTCCTGACATATGGTTGTCAAACCTCTGCTTAAAGACCTCCAAAGAAGGAGACTCCACCACACTCCTTGGCAGCAAATTCCACTGTCGAACAGCTCTTACTGTCAGGAGGGTCTTCCTAATGTTTAGGTGGAATCTTCTTTCTTGTAGTTTGGCTCCATTGCTCCGTGTCCGCTTCTCTGGAGCAGCAGAAAACAACCTTTCTCCCTCCTCTATGTGACATCCTTTTATATATTTGAACATGGCTATCATATCACCCCTTAACCTCCTCTTCTCCAGGCTAAACATGCCCAGCTCCCTTAGCCGTTCCTCATAAGGCATCGTTTCCAGGCCTTTGACCATTTTGGTTGCCCTCCTCTGGACATGTTCCAGTTTGTCAGTGTCCTTCTTGAACTGTGGTGCCCAGAACTGGACACAGTACTCCAGGTGAGGTCTGACCAGAGCAGAATACAGTGGCACTATTACTTCCCTTGATCTAGATGCTATACTCCTATTGATGAGGCTCAGAATTTCATTGGCTTTTTTAGCTGCCGCGTCACACTGTTGGCTCATGTCAAGTTTGTGGTCAACCAAGACTCCTAGATCCTTTTCACATGTACTGCTCTCAAGTCAGGTGTCACCCATCTTGTATTTGTACCTCTCATTTTTTTTGCCCAAGTGCAATACTTTACATTTCTCCCTGTTAAAATTCATCTTGTTTGTTTTTGCCCAGTTCTCTAATATGTCAAGGTCGTTTTGAAGTGTGATCCTGTCCTCTGGGGTGTTAGCCACCCCCCCCCCCAGTTTGGTGTCATCTGCAAATTTGATCAGGATGCCCTTGAGTCCATCATCCAAGTCGTTGATAAAGATGTTGAATAAGACCGGGCCCAAGACAGAACCCTGTGGCACCCCACTAGTCATATCCTACTTCACGCACAAAAATGGACTATGCGGCAGAGTTTGACTGGACTATCAATGGCTACCAGCCAAAATGGGTATGTTCTACCCCTAGTATGCCTCTGAATACTAGTTGCTGAAAACCACAGGAGGGGAAAGTGCTGTTTGCTCAGCTCCTGCTTTCGTGCTTCCCATCTGGTTGGTCACTTTGGGAATAACAAGTTGGACTAAGTGAGCTATCGGCTTGATCTAGCAGACTTTTATTATGTTCTTATGTAGAGCCATGTTGAACTGAGCTCCAAATTCAGTTCTGGTAGTAAATGTACAAAGGCAGGAAATAATTCCTTGATGTGAACCTATCATGGCCTATTTTGATGCTAGAGTGGGGGAGTTAATACATAGGCAGACGTGGAAGAATTATGACCAGGGTTTCCTACCTTACTTTATTTTGTTACTAATCAGCAGATCTTCACAGCTGCTTTGAAGGCTAAGGGTGGCATTAGGGTTATGTCCTCAATGATACGCCCTCACTAGTTGCTATAAGTTGCACCGAGCAAAGCAGGGGTCAGAAAACTTTTTCAGCAGGGGGCCGGTCCATTGTCCCTCAGACCTTGTGGGGGGCCGGACTATATTTTTTTTTGGGGGGGGATGAACTAATTCCTATGCCCCACAAATAACCCAGAGATGCATTTTAAATAAAAATTCACATTCTACTCATGTGAAAACACCAGGCAGGCCCCACAAATAACCCAGAGATGCATTTTAAATACAGTGGTGCCCCGCAAGACGAATGCCTCGCAAGATGGAAAACTCGCTAGACGAAAGAGTTTTCCGTTTTGGAGGTGCTTCGCAAAACGAATTTCCTATGGGCTTGCTTCGCAAGACGACAATGTCTTGCGAGTTCCTGCTGGTTTTTTTCCTCCCCCCCTTTTTCTAAGCCGCTAAGCCGCTTATCAGCTGATCCGATCAGCAGATAAGCCGCTAAAAGCCGCTAAAAGCCGCTAATCTGCTAATCCTTCAATGGGCTTGCTTCGCAAGACGAAAAAACCGCTAGATGAAGAGAATCACAGAACGGATTCTTTTCGTCTTGTGAGGCACCACTGTATAAACACACATTCTACTCATGTAAAAACACACTGATTCCTGGACTATCCCCGAGCTGGATTTAGAAGGCGATTGGGCCGGATCCAGCCCCCAGGCCTTAGTTTGCCTACCCATGGAGTAAAGCAACTTTCATTGCAATCATATACATGTAGGGGTTTTGGAAAATACCAGTGTAAATGGAAAAGAAAAAGGAATTTTGCAGTTTGCCTGCTTGCCTGTGATCAGGAATGGAAATCGGTCAAGCGAGTATGATTGGTTTTCATTCACATTGTCACTGTGTGCATTTCTTAAAGCCTGCAAATAATATATAATTAATTGAATGGAAGTTATATGAATAATTATGGTGAGGTGAATAGCATAGAATTTGGCGGAAACCAAATTGCAGTGAAACAGAATCAGCGCTGATTTTTTAAAATTAATTCCCTCATTGCTTTCCTTTAGTGAGGGGCTTGGAGAATGTTTAACATGCCCCCAGAATAAGCCCATCACCGAGACTTTTCACACACACCATTGCCTGGCTAAAGGGAGAGACAGAGAGAATCATAGAATCATAGAATCATAGAGTTGGAAGAGACCACAAGGGCCATTGAGTCCAACCCCCTGCCAAGCAGGAAACACCATCAGAGCACTCCTGACATATGGTTGTCAAACCTCTGCTTAAAGACCTCCAAAGAAGGAGACTCCACCACACTCCTTGGCAGCAAATTCCACTGTCGAACAGCTCTTACTGTCAGGAAGTTCTTCCTAATGTGTAGGTGGAATCTTCTTTCTTGTAGTTTGGATCCATTGCTCTGTGTCCGCTTCTCTGGAGCAGCAGAAAACAACGTTTCTCCCTCCTCTATGTGACGTCTTTTTATATATTTGAACATGGCTATCATATCACCCCTTAACCTCCTCTTCTCCAGGCTAAACATGCCCAGCTCCCTTAGCCGTTCCTCACAAGGCATCGTTTCCAGGCCTTTGACCATTTTGGTTGCCCTCCTCTGGACACGTTCCAGTTTGTCAGTGTCCTTCTTGAACTGTGGTGCCCAGAACTGGACACAGTACTCCAGGTGAGGTCTCACCAGAGCAGAATACAGTGGCACTATTACTTCCCTTGATCTAGATGCTATACTCCTATTGATGCAGCCCAGAATTGCATTGGCTTTTTTAGCTGCTGCGTCACACTGTTGGCTCATGTCAAGTTTGTGGTCAACCAAGACTCCTAGATCCTTTTCACATGTACTGCTCTCAAGCCAGGTGTCACCCATCTTGTATTTGTGCCTCTCATTTTTTTTGCCCAAGTGCAATACTTTACATTTCTCCCCGTTAAAGTTCATCTTGTTTGTTTTTGCCCAGTTCAAGATGAAAGAGAAAGCAAATTGCTTGCTCCAGAGCGATGAGGTTCAGGTGGGAAGAGAGAGACACGGGCTGGAGCTACACTCACCTTTTGAACATTGTTCTAAAACATCCGGACATTTGGCTTCTTTTCCTTTTTCACAAGGTAAAACTACCCAGTTTCTGGAATGAGATAGCTCTGCAGCACCTTCTGGTGTCACATTTTATTTTTTATTTTTTTCAATTTTTAAAATTAATTTTCCACATTTGTAACAAATATAACATATAAAAGACACAAAACAAAACACATTACCACAAAAAGAAAAAGGAAGAAAAATAAAAACACTTGTTACTTCTAAAATCCAAATTAACTTTCATTGTTCCTCAAATCTCCTCTAACTGAATTTCATTGTGACACCTTTGTAGCAGTTCTCCAAGATCATCTTTCTAATACCAGCAACTCCTTCAATTAACTGTCTTCATCTCTTTTCTTACTGGCTTAACTCCATATTACTACAGTGGTACCTCAGGTTAAGTACTTAATTCGTTCCGGTGGTCCATTCTTAATTTGAAACTGTTCTTAATCTGAAGCACCACTTTAGCTAATGGTGCCTCCTGCCACCTCCGCGCCGCCGGAGCACGATTTCTGTTCTCATCCTGAAGCAAAGTTCTTAACCACTGTAATTATTCATAAAGGAAACAGTTTATAAGAAGTAAATAAGGAGGCCAGATACAGGATAAAGGAAGTCTTTTATTTCATTGTTTGTCTTGTTGTATGTTATGCTCACTGTATGTTATGTTCACGTTTAATTAGGGTGGATTGTGTATTGGGGTGGGTGGGGGTTTATGTTGTAAATAAAATTCCAATAACAATTATTTTAAAAAGAGAGAGAGAGAAAGAGGAACTTGCAGCACATTGCATGAACCACATGGAACTTGAGTTTAAAAGGTCGTAGTTAGGTTTTCTTCACTTTCCTGTTGATTTGGCCCATCATCAGATTGAGAAACAGTGAAGAGTTCAAAAGTAGCAGGGGTACGGTCAGCGAAAGGAGAAAAGGATTGAGGCATATCAGCTGAGTTCTTGGTGGGTGATTGCTTCCTGCTGAAGTAGCGTCTCTTTGCATCCTATGTGATCTGCTGATGTATTTGTAAATAAAGCAATTTCACAAATTTCCACTGTTGCACCATCTAATAAAAGCAGAACTTCTCCCCACTTATTTATTTTTATTTTATTTTATTTATTAAATTTATATACTGCCCTTCATTCAAGGGTCACTTGGTGGTTTACAGTTTAAAAACACACACACAAAAAATCATAACTTAATAACAAACAAAACAATAACCCCCCCCCTCACAGCACACAGTTTAAAAGGTTATAGATTTTTTAAATAGCCAAAGACCTGGGAGAAGAGGAATGTTTTTGCCTGGTGCCTAAAGATATGTAATGAAGGTGCCAGGTGAGTCTCACCTGGGAAAATGATGATGATGATGATGATAGCAAACTAGGTCCATAGTGAAAACTGCATATTGGCTGGTTCTCTCCATGCAAGCTCCTGACAGTTTTAAAAAAGAACGGATCAGTCACACACTCAGTGAATCAACTCTGAGAAATCAAAATTAAATCTTATTCACACAACACGTAGGTTTCTGAAGCAGCATAGAGGCAGCTCCCACAAAGCCACACCTACAGAAATATTTGCTCAGGATTAGGAATGAGGTTTTGGTACGTAAATCCTGCCTTTCTGTGTATGTATGAATCACAGAAAGCCGCTAAGAAAGGATATTAACAACATAGCGTGTGCATACTTTTAGTGCTGAGGTGTTCAAAGTGAAAGTCAACCGGGCTCTGTCATGTTTCTTAGAGATGAAGAGGGTGCGATTTGGCCGAGACAAGCAAGGTGTGTTATATATGGAATGGAATGTGTCTTTGATGCCTGCTTGTTACCTAGCAACAAGGGAACAAATACTCTTCACATGAAAATCTGGTTCTAAGAACCATTGAAGCACATGTCAAATTACAGTATCATACCCAGATTTGAAACTCATAAAGATTGGGTTTGACTGATTGGCAGGTGTGTCAACTCTAGGTGGTTGAAGGCGCCTTGGGACCCTCCGTATTTGATTTAAGGGGGCTGGACCCCCTCAATCTTTTTTTAAAATAAATTTTTATTAGATTTTCCACAGTGATAACACAAACCACAAAGCAAAATGATACACAAAATCAGAAAAAGAAAAAGAAGAAAGAAGAAAGAAAAAAAGGGGGGAAACAATAAACAGATAAACAATAACAACAAACTTAATTCTTCACAAATCCAACCTTTTAAACATCTTGGTTGACTTCCTCAAATCCCTCCCTTCTGAGTTTCCTTGTAATTAAAAGTAACAGCTTTCCAATATCATTATTAAACTAAAACAATTTCCAATTATAATCCATCTTATTCACTTTTCTTCACATTCAAAATCCCATTTATTTAATTATAACTTAATTTAATCCCAGGCCTATTTGTTTCTTTCAAGTAATTTCTAATTTTTTATATTACAATATTTATTCAAATAGTCCTTGAATTTCCTCCAGTCCTCTTGAAACTCCTCTTCTTTCTGGTCGCGGATTCTTCCAGTCAGGTCAGCTAGCTCCGAAAAGTCCATCATCTTCACCTGCCAATCTTCCACTGTTGGTAGTTCTTGTGTTTTCCAACTTTTAGCAAGTAATATTCGGGCGGCCGTTGTGGCATACAAAAATAATTTAACATCTTTCTGGACCCCCTCAATCTTGAGGCAGCCCAGAGTGCATCATGTACACGACGTCATGGGTGCTATGCATAACACACGTCACAGGTCCTCCAGAGCGCTACGCCTCCTCCATCCCATGCGCACCATGTATGTGATATGCGATGGGCCCCCTCCATCTTGGGGGCAACTTGGCATCTCTGTTGAATGGATATTTGGGGGCTTACCTCTGCAGGATTTATATCAGAAGTCAGGTAGGGTAGAGCTGCTAAGCTAGCTTCTCAGCAGGAGGTGATTTCTGTTTCCTGGGAGGGGGAAGCAGGAAAGGGAGGTGGCAGGTGGCGAGGAGGCCAGCACAGAACAAACACACTGACAGAGACAGCCCAATGCTACAGCTGTACCAGCTTTGCCCCTCCCCTTCCCATGAAGATGCAGAGACTCACCTGTTGGGACGTCAGGTGAGCGCCGCCATCCCATCAAACTGCCTGCTACTGACTAGCCTTCAAAACATGTCCCACTCAGTCCATGGATTTCTCTCTTTAGTATGTCTGATTTATTTTCAGTTTTCTTTTTTATGTGAGCATAAGATCATAAAGAAGGCTGATTGCCGAAGAATTGATGCTTTTGAATTACAGTGGTACCTCGGGTTAAGAACTTAATTCGTTCTGCAGGTCGGTTCTTAACCTGAAATGGTTCTTAACCTGAAGCACCAAATTAGGTAATGGAGCCTCCTGCTGCAGCTGTGCTGGCGCTGCACAATTTCTATTCTCATCCTGAAGCAAAGTTCTTAACCTGAGGTACTATTTCTGGGTTAGCAGAGTCTGTAACCTGAAGCGTATGGAACCTGAAGTGTATGTAACCCGAGGTACCACTGTATGGTGCTAGAGGAGACTCTTGAGAGTCTCATGGACTGCAAGAAGATCAAGCCTATCCATTCTGAAGGAAATCACCTCTGAGTGCTCACTGGAAGGACAGATCCTGAAGCTGAGGCTCCAATACTTTGGCCACCTCATGAGAAGAGAAGACTCCCTGGAAAAGACCCTGATGTTGGGAAAGATGGAGGGCACAAGAAGAAGGAGACGACAGAGGACGAGATTGTTGGACAGTGTTCTCGAAGCTACGAACATGAGTTTGACTAAACTGCGGGAGGTAGTAGAAGACAGGAGTGCCTGGCGTGCTCTGGTCCATGGGGTCACGAAGAGTCAGACATGACTGAATGACTAAACAACAATGACCTGTTAGAAATGTTCATATTTGTTGCATGTATCGACATATCCATGTGTATTTGAGGACTGCCATCTCAATATTTAATAGGTGACAAATTCAAGAGATTTTCCACATTTCACAGAGGGGAAAAACTACTTTGAAAGCTCTTGCTCAAAGACCCGGTGATACATTGTGTATCAGCCCCACAGCAAAGCAGCAGGAAAACACTGATATTTCTATGACAGTGATGTCATGCTTGCATTCTTTTTTTTTTAAGGTCACCGACTCTTGCCTAAGATGCTTCAATCATTCCATAGGATCACAGCCTTAGGGCAAATATATATTGCATCACACCTACTGAGGAAAGTTTCACTGGGAGTGGTGAGAAATCCTATATAATCAGCCTGACTTGCACTTAGATTTACACTTGGGTGAAGAGAGCGCCTGCTTTAACAGCTGGGTTAAACGAGGTATGTAAAACTACAATTCTCATCTTTTTTTCTGTTTTTGCTGTTTATGCATGTCTTAAGGTCAATCAGCGTCAGAGACAGAGTTTACAATCGAATCTGGTGCATATTTATCCGGAAGTAAACCCCACAGTGTTCAAAGGGACTTAAAGGTAAAGGTAAAGGGCCCCCTGACCATTAGGTCCAGTCGTGATGGACTCTGGGGTTGCGGCGCTCATTTCGCTTTATTGGCTGAGGGAGCCGGCGTACAGCTTCCGGGTCATGTGGCCAGCATGACTAAGCCGCTTCTGGCGAACCAGAGCAGAGCACGGAAACACCATTTATCTTCCCGCCGGAGCAGTACCTATTTATCTACTTGCACTTTGACGTGCTTTTGAACTGCTAGGTTGGCAGGAGCAGGGACCGAGCAACGGGAGCTCACCCCATCGTGGGGATTCAAACTGCGACCTTCTGATCGGCAAGTCCTAGGCTCTGTGGTTTAACCCACAGCGCCACCCGCGTCCCTTCAAAGGGACTTACTCCCAAGTAAATATGCATAAGATTGCGGCAGTTCAACATGGAACTTTCATAAAAACCACATCAAAATGTGCTCTATTAGAGATGAATATGACTTAGAAGGCAGGACTAGATCTAATGAGATTACGTTACAGCAGGGGAGAGTTAAGGGGTGTTAATATTAGGAGAAATTTCTTGATGGTAAGAGTAATTTGACAAGGGAACCAATTGCACAGAGGGAGGGTGAGCTTTACATCCATGAGCCTTTTTAATATTTGGTGGAAGCTGCCCAGAGTGGCTGGGGAAAGCCAGTCAGATGGGTGGAGTATAAATAAATTATTATTATTATTATTATTATTATTATTATTATTAAGTAGAGGGTTATGGTCCATTTTCAGTCAGAAAAAGGCAGCAAGCCAAAGGTAACCTGCCTTTAGACAGAGAAGAGAGAAAATATATTATACAATTGGGACCTTCAGCACAATGTACTCACTGACTTCTCCAGTCACGCCTTCCTCCATACTTTCCCTCCTTCTGCCTCTCACCTGCTTCTCCTCCCAGATAGTGAATATTCCATGCCCACTGAGCAATCTCAGTCCCCGTTGGGATGTTTTGGGATTCCTACACATGTAGGGATTTCCACTAAATAAGCTTTGCACTTCTGCAAGCTGGGGTTTTCTGCCAAGCCTCCTAGTACTTATCTCTTGTATGTGGATGGTGTTTCATTTTGTTCCAGATAAGGTTTCATGGATACCTCAGAACTTTGGGGTTATGAAGCCTCTGAGCCCAGAGTCCTGAAGAAATGAACACACAGAGAGATCTAGGTGCAAAGCCTTCCCCCACTCAGAGGTCCACACATGGATCATAGAATCATAAGAGTTGGAATGCACCTAAAGGTCATCTAGTCCAACCCCCTGGATGTTGGGGTTCAGGGTGAGGGGGTCATATAGGAAAGTGTGTGAGTCAGTATTGCCAGTTTTGCCTACACAGACTGGCAGCAGCTCTCAAGGGTTTCAGGGCAGAAATCATATAATTGCAGAGTTGGAAGGGACCACAAGTATCATCTAGTCCAACCCCCTTCCATGCAGGAATATTTTGCCTACGTGGGACTCAAACCCATGACTCTGAGATTAAGAGTCTCATGCTTGACTGATGGAACTATCAGGAGCTTTTCCTAGCCCTGCCTGGAGATTGTGGGGATTGAACCTGTGTCCTCCTCCATGCAAAGCAGATGCTCTACCACTGAGCCACACCCTAAGCCTCATACAACCTCAGAAGCAGGGCCAACTGCACGTGGGCCTCCTTCATGCCATTAGCCTATAACAGGGGCTATTCCCACAACCATCTCACAAGACGTAACCTGTGAAAGGTTGGGCAGAGTGCAATACAGTACATAGCTAGCTTAGTTGGGTGGAACTGAACTGTGAATGGCAAGACCTGCTGTTAGAAAACTATAAGGAGCGTGAGAGGCAAAACTAGACCTGACAGGACAAGAACAAGATGCTTCAAATAGATAGATAAGCCATGGAACAAAGGAATCTGCCAAGCACTATGGATGGCAACACTTCTTCCAAAGCGGCCCAACCCAAAGTTCTCCAGAGCAAATTCTGCTGAGAGCTTGGGACAACCTCTCTGGTGTGCCTGAGCTAAGAGTTTGTCAAGGAAGGAACAGTGGCAAGCTGCCTGGTGTTTACAAAAGTGCTAGGTTCATGAAGACATGTGTCCCAAGATGATTAAAGCTAGGAAATGCTATCTTACGTTAACAGGAAGTATGTGGTAAACAATTCTTTGCTTGACATATTCATACAAAGAACAGGATACAGTTTCCTGTGGGCTATGGTCAGAGACGGATTTAGGGGAGCACGACTGGTTCGGTCACACTGGGTGCAGTCTCAAGAGCATTGCAGCAGGTGCCACAACTATGATGCATAACGGAAGGCGAGAGGCAGGCAGGTGCTAGATTTTGGCATTGTACAGGGTGCTGCCGAAATTTGAGACCCCAAGGTCTGCCACTGCTGTGATTTCCTAACCCTGTGGCACAATTGCATACCCTGCCTCACAATCAGAGAAACACACATGGTGAGTAACCCCATCATTCTAGTCGTGATGGCCTTCTTCTGACCCCACTGTCTAAGGCAGTCTGCATCTGTACACTAGTTGTGGGAATTGGAGGAGTCCTGTTGCACTCAGGTGCTGTCAGGAACGTAGCCCCACTAGAGCACAGCGGGAGTGTCAGCCTCTGAAATTGAGCTAAGCGAGCAAGGGGCCGACTTTGCAGAGGAGAGCTGTGTGTAAGAGTTTAGAGAGGACAGCCCGGCCCTCCTCATTCTCAGGGAAAAAGCTATTAGCTACCAAGGAGAGGAAGAGTTGGAAGTCGGCCTGAGCGTTGCCAGGCAACTAGCAGATAAGCCAGAGTCTGAGGCTGTGTCTTCTGGGAGTGAGGAGGAGACGGACCAGCCATTCAGTCCCCGTACTAGGAGGCAGAAGAAGCTCAGAGAATGACATAAGGAAAGGAGGGATTTTGGCGTTCTTCCTGTGAGCCAGTGTGGTGTAGTGGTTAAGAGCGGTAGTCTCGTAATCTGGTGAACCGGGTTTGCATCTCCACTCCTCCACATGCAGCTGCTGGGTGACCTTGGGCTAGTCACAGTTCTTTGAAGTCTCTCAGCCTCACTCACCTCACAGAGTGTTTGTTGTGGGGGAGGAAGGAAAAGGAGAATATTATCCGCTTTGAGACTCCTTTGGGTAGTGATAAAGCGGGATATCAAATCCAAACTCTTCTTATTCTTCTTGTTGGGAGAGAGATGGTGAGTCAGACTGAGCAACTACTGTTAATGAGAGCATCCAGGAGGCCGTGCTCTGAATGTGTGTTTTTCTTGTAAATAAACTTGCATAAAACTGATGGAGAGTCGTTACTGCTTCTCAAGCTGCTTGCATGCCAGAGATCATTACAGGTTCTGCTTGTGGGCTTCCCATAGGCACCTGGCTGGCTACAGTGAGAACAGAATGTGGGACTAAGCTGGCAGGCCCAGAGGAACTCTAGAAACATCACCACTGTCTGGAAAGCATGGTCCTACCCTGAAACCTGACTTGACTGAGGAAAGGGAAGGGCCATCATTGAAAGGAGAATGTGTACCCAGTTGTTCAGGGAGACGACTGAGAATAATAATGGCATGAGCTTTCATTTATTATGCAGGAAAAGAACTGTGCCCTGGGGTTTTAAAAGTTTTGGAAACACTGGTCCATCTCTTCTTGCAGAGAGAATATGAACTTTCTAGCCAATGTATATTTTTCTCACCAAGATGGAATATTGGTAGGGTCATGATAGGGTTGCCATATTTCAAACAGTGAAAATCCAGACAGATAAATTGTTGAGCTTTTGGGGGGGGGAGTTGTTGAGCTTAATTTGTTTGCATTTTTGAGCAAAGTTGTTGAGCTATTTTGGAGACTTTGCAAAAGAAGGAGTTTTAGACCTTTTTTTAAGGAAAAGTGGCAAAAACGACACTGCCGACATGGGTTGCCATATGTTAGGATTTTCCAGGACATTTTTGCGATTTCTGCCCCGACACTGCTTCCAACTGCAGTATTCCAGATATGTCCGGGAAATATCCCCAGAATCCAGGTAAGGTTAAAATTCTGGAGAGCCACTGCCAGCATAGAGTACATAATACTGTGCTAAAGGGGTTCTATATTGCTAGCACTTGCTTGTGTAAGCAGTCCGTCACCAAGTCATGTGGCAACAGCCCTTGACAAAATGTGCAGGAACATCTGGCATGCATTGTTCAAGTTGCATCCACATATATGATGTAATTAAGAACTGAACAGACAAATGAACTATTTGCGACTCTCCTAAACCGAAAGCATGGTCTTTTTAATTTCTTAAGTCAGGATCAATGTGCCATAATGAAAGACTTTTGGCAGAAGAAAGACTTCAAACCACATTACTAGTATCTACTGCTACAAAACTAACGCAAGACAGGCAGGAAGACAGTTTCTGTGGTCCAAATGACTGGTGGCTTTTTCCGGACTGCTTATCTTTCAGGCCAGTTGCCTGATCATCAAAAGCTTCCAGAATTTCTTCAGTAGGAAAGAGGCATGCACAACGGTCCCTGGTGAACATGCAAACAGTTTTAAAGCTTATTCTCTCTCTCTCTAACTAGGATTAAATAGCAATGGAGGAACTGAGTACAGCCAATGGTGGTTTTGCCATTGATTTTTTCAAACACGTGTGCAAGGCTCAAAGCAACAAAAACATCCTATTCTCACCATGGAGCATCTCGTCTGTTATGGCCACACTGTACCTTGGAGCTAAAGGCCATACTGCAGAGCAGATAGCAGAGGTAAGCTTTGTGCTATTAATAACTTAAATCGGGGTTAGGGAACTGGGTGTGGCCAGTGAGGAGAGCCTTATCTCTGTAGATAAGTTTGGGTCAAGTTTGACAGTGGGTGAGATTATCTCCACCTGCCGTCCACTTGATCTCACAATGACATCAGGTGACCCATTGTGCAATGAATGGATACGAACCAAGTCCTACCCACCCCTCTAAAAAAGATGAGCACCTCCATTAACCAAAGGCTTAAACAGAAAAATCTTAGCCCAGTGCCTAAAAACTGACAGAAATGGTGCCAGGTAGATCTCCCATTTCATAGATGGGGGGCCACCACTGAAAAGACCTATTCTCATGTGGTCACCGTCCACACTTTTCTCATGTGGAGTGCACAGATTAAGACTGTGGGAAATGGGCTCGTTTATATGGGGTGAAGTGGTATATATAAATTGCACACAAGAGAAACAGCTGCTCAACCTTGCTCCTGGTCCCCGGGGTGTAATGTCATTTTCTCTATGCACTCTCAAGAGCAGAGGCCTAACTCAATCTACTTGCATAGTTTCTGGAGCTTGTTAATCCTACCAGCAATATTGGATCCCACTGTGCCTGGAATTGCATTGTCCTGCTTTGCACAGATTGCTAAGCCGTAGTTAACATTTGAGGCTGGGGAGAAATTAGATTCAGTTTGCATGTACAGGCCAATGTATCCATTTCAACTTTCCAGAGTAATGAGAGAGCCAATATGAGAACACAATGATCCTTTGAAATTTGCACTCATCTGAATTTTGCGGTCAACTAATTAAACTATAGTGTTTACAGAAATGCACATTCTAGCTTAAGGTCTGCTTTAAAATGCATATATTAGTGAAAACAATACAGAAAAATACTTTATATTAAGAAAATTGCTTTACCAAAATGTGTATATTCGACAAAATTGCATACAAGAATGGGTATAATGGAAGAAATTCACACAAAAATTCTGGGGAATTTTCAGGAGAACCCTGTGTTTAATAATGCAAACCAATACAGAAATGTGAACAGCTTAATTTGGAAAAAGGAGACAACTGGAGATAGATAAAGCTGAGATATCTTTAGCTTTTGGGAGGGTTCACTGTGGTGAACATCAACTAACGTTTATAAATCAACTTACAAACCACGGTTAATGAGCGCAATTGTAAGCACATGACTTTATACGCCTCACGTAACAACTTCTTATTGCTTATGTTTTTCTTTGGGTTTGTTTTAAATGCAGGTGCTTCACTTTAACAAATCTGGGAGAAGTGAAACTGCCCATGCTATGAGACACCCACGCGTGTACTCCAAAATGGAGGAGCTGTTGAATAACCCCTGCATTGCTATTCAGAAGGTAATTTTTGGAAAAACCAAAGTTCATCTCAGACGAATGTATGCAGGCCAGGTTTTTTGTTTTTTGTTTTAAACAGACTTTGGTGTTAACTTCTTTTCCAGTCTACTTTGTCCTAGTTCACTTGGTGATTTGGAAAGAATGTCCTAGTTGATACAATTTTAGCTTTCAAAAACCCCAACACTTTAAACCATCAAGTATGTGGATAAGCACAGAGAGAATAGTTATCACTGTTATGTGACAGAGCAACCATGACACATCTCCCCTCCCTTTAAAAATACCATGCAATGTACATTCATTGGCAATTGAGTTACATGCAGCTTGAATATATGGGATGTTTACTGGCAAGCAAGATTGTAAGAAATTACTCCCAGCTAAGTGTGCATAAGGAAGCAGCCATAGTCTCTTTTAACAACACTGCTTTGTTACTTGACAGAAATCTGGATGTCTTAGAGTCAACAGAAATATAAGCTGCAATAAAAGAACAGTGGAACTTAAGCACATATTCCCATTTACATCCATTGCAATGAATATGACTTGGGCATTCTTAAGTCTCTCCGGATGTATCTTGTCATGGAGAAACCTAGATATGGGTATCTGGGTATGCTTTTCTGGGATATATTCCAAGGGAAATAACTGGCGCAGACCACACCCCAGTTCCACGTGGAAACTTAAAAAGGTATTAACCTCCCCAGACAAACTTTGGAGAACTGTTTGCTTCATCTTGTAGCTAACAAGGAAAAGATTAAGAGCCTTCACACAAGTGGAGCTGTTTGCATGTTAACACCCTATTCCAGCAGTGGTTCCTTATTGCATCTGTCGTGGAGACAGGAGAATCTATCAATTTTGGTTTCTAATTTTTTCCAATTTTTGATAAAGTTCTCCACACTTCTGCATCTGTTTGCGATTTTCATGAGCCCGCCTCATCGACATTCTCCTCACATACATCTTTTTAGATGTAGTTTTGCCTCTCACATACTTTTTTTGCAAGCAGTTTCCCCTCACAGAATGCATCTTATATTATTTTTTACTAATACCTGCATTTTAGGCAAATTTACCGCTGCTATGAACACTTCTTTGGTTGGAGAAGTGAATCACAAAATCCAGATAATTGTGAATTTCAAATTCTGACCACGGGAAAAGAAGGGGAAAGGGGAAAGGAGACAAGATGTGTTGACAATGCGGGTTAACATAAATGTGTGGCCTAAGGGGGATAAATGAGAGATAATGCAGGGACAAAACAAACTGCAGTAAGAGGTAATGGCTGAATGTGGGATTAATCAATGTTGCAATTCTCTGTTTAAGCCCTCTCCTAAAACATCAAGCAACATACATTCAAGATTCCTGGAACTTAGTCAAGAAATCAACAAACCTACAAAACATTTTCTGCTTCGAAGTGTCAACCAGCTATATGCAGACAAATCAGTGCCTTTCCAAAAAGTGAGTGGAGCCTGTAAATGTGACTCTGGGATCAGAGTTGAGAATTTAATAAAAACGTGGAATAACTGCCTATTACAACAATAGGAGTGTATTCAAAATTTTAATTTGCTTCTATGTGTGTAGGATGATCTTAGTATCCTGTAAACTTTGGTTTCACCCTCGTTGGCATGGCTGCAATGCCTTAAGAGTATTTTTTTACCTTTAAGGAATTCATATTGTCAATGAAGAAATACTATAATGCAGAGCCACAAACAGTAAACTTTCAAGAAACTGCGGAAGAAGTCAGAAAAGAGATCAATTCTTGGGTTGAACACCAGACAGAAGGTGAGCTCAAAATGGCTTCTCCTCGAAATTGGGAACTGCTAAATATGTGTTATGATGAAATTCAGATTGGAAGGTGTCGAGGAAGTCTTCTAGCAATGTAAATATACCAGGGAATAAGAAGGGGGGGGGAATCTTATTTTATCTTTTGCATTTTTATTGTTGTTAAGTTTTTAAGTTGTGTTAAATGTAATGTTCTTTTCTGTGTTTATGTTTGTGTATTATAAGAGAAAACCAATAATTTTTTTGGAAAAAACAAAAACAAAATGGTTGCTCTGCTATAGGCCTGGGCGATATATTGATATATCGCCCAGGACCGGGCAATATACCGCTGGTGAAACAGCCATTGCACTCTGCCCCAGCAGAGGGAGGATTAAGCTGAATCGGTGATGTGCCAGTACAGCTTCTTTCTTCCTCTGCTTCTTTAAGCTGCTTGGCTGAGGAGCGTGCAACTGCCCTTGCCTCAGCCGAGCAGTTTTACAGAGCACTATTTCTGGGTTAGCGGAGTCTGTAACCTGAAGCGTATGTAACCCGAGGTACCACTGTAAAAAGGTAAAGGGACCCCTGACCATTAGGTCCAGTTGTGACCGACTCTGGGGTTGCGGCGCTCATCTCGCTTTATTGGCCAAGGGAGCCGGCGTACAGCTTCCGGGTCATGTGGCCAGCATGACTAAGCTGCTTCTGGCGAACCAGAGCAGCGCACGGAAACGCCGTTTACCTTCCCGCCGGAGCGGTACCTATTTATCTACTTGCACTTTGACGTGCTTTCAAACTGCTAGGTTGGCAAAAACACACATATTAGTGAAATAGAAAATGCATTCTTGTAGCGGGAAATGTTGTGCAAAAATGTGTATATTTAGCAAAACATTAGAAAGATAGGTTGGGGCAAGTCCACAGAAAGTTTTAAGGTAAAGTCACATTTCTTGTTATCTAAAGAAAACCCTACACTTTTTCAGATGTGTGCAGCTGACAAAACATATGATGACTTCTTTCTCTCTCCTATTTCTTCTCCCAAACAAGGTAAAATACAGAATCTGTTGAATGAGGGGTCTATCGATTCACTTACCCAGCTGATCTTGGTAAATGCACTGTACTTCAGAGGAAACTGGGCAAAGCCATTTAAGAAACAAGACACAACACAGCAGCCCTTCAGACTTAACAAGGTAAATAATTTCATACTAATTTCATTAAAAAAGGCAATAAGGCACTTCAACCTACTACAGTCCATTGCCATGCCTATGATGGTATCATGTACCTTGTTCTGCACTGTGAAGTAATGTAAGGGAGAGAGATCTCTTCTCCAAATAGCATATATAAAATGCATTTCCCCCCAGTTCCCCCATGAAGTTTAAGGCTCATGGACATGAAAGCATATTTGTCATATTGCAGCGAACAAGTAAGCCGGTGAAGATGATGTTCCAGCACGGTAACTTCAATTGGAACTACATAAAAGAAGTGAAGACTCAGATTCTTGAGCTCCAATATGTCAACAATGACCTCAGCATGTTTATACTCCTCCCTGATGACATCACTGATGACACCACTGGCCTGGAAATGGTAAAGAAAAGTAGTCCTATTTAGAATATATATATATATATTAATTCCCGTTATTCACTGTGTGTGTGGACAGTGCTTCTTTTGGCATATTTTGTAGGAAAATGACTGAATTGCTTAGGATATAGAAAGATATGGATTTGGAACTTTGTCTCGATTGAAAATGACCCTTGATGTGTTGGAAATGGGTTCATTCATCATGCCATGTGGGGAATCACACAAAAGTCAGAAGAGAAAATGTATTTCTAGTTATCTAAAACCCAAGAACAGTGAAAGAAAAGGCTTGCCTTCCCGAATGTTTTGCAAATGAATGTGTTTTCATAACATTCAAGGAACATTTCTACACATCTAAAGGTGATGGGTGGATATGGATGTTGCACGCTGATTTCTCAACAGACGTTTGTGTGTTTGGTCCAAGAATACAGATTTCATGTAATCATTTTGGCAGCCAGTGTAGCGTGGAGAAAGTTGAAAGGGAAACCTCCACCCGTATTACTTGAACCTGGGGGATCCAATGAATCAGAATGCTGGGAGATTTGGGAGAGACATCAGGAACACATGAAAAAACTTCCCTAAACAGGGCTGCCTTCAGATGTCTTCTAAAAGTCAGATAGTTGTTTATTTCCTTGACATCTGATGCAAGGGCGTTCCAAAGGGCGGGCGCCACTACCGAGAAGGGCCTCTGCCTGGTTCCCTGTAGCTTCACTTCTTGCAATGAGGGAACCTCCAGAAAGCCCTTGAACATAGACCTCAGTGTCCGGGCTGAACAATGGGGATGGAGACACTCCTTCAGTTTTCGGTTTTCAGACATTTCGGAACTCGAACGGTCTTCTGGAAAGGATTATGTTCGAAAACTGAGATACCACTGTATTCAATTGGGCTTGTTCAAGTGTTAGCCTCTCATCTAAATTAGTCATATCCTGCTTTAATAACCCCATAGATATTTGTAGATGAAAATCCTGTTCCATTTCACCTCTTTTTTTTGCAGACACATATTTTTCATCTTGTGATATACTATGTTGACTGTTGAAAACTTTGACATTGCACTCAGTGCTAGAAGAATGCATTGCATCATAGCTGAAGGGATCTGTAAACTAGCTTGGACTAGTGTATATTTCCCAAAACAACATTCAAACACAGTTGTACATTTAATTTAGCAAACCTGGAATACTTTTCCAACTTACTGATTGTTTGGTTTTCTTTGTGTCTGCAGCTAGAAAATAAATTGACTTATGAAGCCTTATCCAAGTGGACCAGCCCAGAAGAAATGGAAGAAATTGAAGCAAATGTGTATCTTCCTAGGACCCAGTTAGAAGATCACTATGAGTTAAAGGCAGATTTGACCAGCATGGGGATAACAGATGCCTTCACTGTAGGCCAAGCCAATTTCACCGGAATGTCTGAAAAAAGCAAGCTGATTTTGTCCCAAGTTTTCCACAAGTGCTTTGTTGACATTAACGAAGAGGGCACAGAGGCTGCTGCTTCGACAGGTGCTACTATAGATGGGCGAAGTACAGCGGGGGCGACTTTGTTTGCAGCCGACCACCCTTTCCTCTTTTTCATCCGGCATAACGAAACCAAAAGCATCCTCTTCTGGGGTAGATTCTGTTGCCCTTAAAGTATTTCAGCTTTCGACATGACTGGAAGAATCCGCAACCAGAAAGAGGAGGAAACACAAGAAGACTGGAAGAAATTTAAAGAAGATTTAGTGATATGCTGTAATATAAGATAATTAGGATATCCCTAGAAGTAACAGATTAGGCTAAGGGATAGAAAAAGATTAATAATAAAGATTATTATTGATGACAATTGGAAGTAAGGTTAAGAAGTTTGTAATGAAAGAAGATGCTGATGTTATAAATATGAAATTGGGAACTGCTAAATATGTAATATGATGAATTCCAGATTGGAGGGTGTCGAGGAAGTCTTTTAGCAATGTAAATACACCAGGGAATAAGAAGGGGGAAAAAACTTTTATTTTTATGGGTTTTTATTATTTTTATGGGTTTTTATTATTTTATTATTTTATTGTTGTTCAGTTTTTATGTTGTGTCAAATGTAATGTTTTTATTTTGTGTTTTTGTCTATGTGTTATAAGAGAAAACTAATTTCAGCTTTCTCTTAGCAAACAGGAAGGATCTTGCGGCAGCAGGAATGTGGCACAACAGAGGCACCGTTTTCCAAAGCTATGTCTAAAATTGGTGTTCTCGCCTGTCTTTCCTTTATGCTTGCAGGGGGAGTGCTTATGGCCACAGCTGACATGTGCTCAGCAAGAAGTCAACTCACTCTCAAACCATGCATAAAATAGTCTCTAGGGTTATTGGTTTTTTGCTATGTCTCTTTCTAAATTGCATTGTTTGGTATACACAGGGTGTTGATGCAAACCTTTTCAACAATAGACTTGCTGACGGGAGAAAAACAAAAACTAGCCCATGGCTGTCAGTGGGCCTTCCCCCCAGCAATTATATATTTTTCAAATTTATTTTATTAAATTTGTATACCACTTTTCATATGAAGATTCAGGGCGGATCGTAGCATAAAAATACAAGATAAAAGAACACAAAGCATAGGAGCCAACTCATTACGGCCGAGGGCTCTTCAGCCCCCCAATAAAATATTTGAGGTGCTGCCCCCCCAAGTTAAAGAGCATTGCCATTAAAATGGTGTGCATGTGCTACATCATGTGATTATGTGGGGCAGGGCTTACCTGCCCCCCAATATTTTATTCAAGTTGGCACTCGTGACACAAGGTACATAATAAAAACAAAAACAAAACAAAACAATAACCCTCCTTTCCTAAAAACATATTTAACTTGGGACTCGGCTACATTAGTAAAGAAACAACAATTTGAATGCTCTATAAACATGCAACACCAGGTGATGCCAGAAAGCTGGAAATTTTTATACATGATTTCCATAGTTTCCCCCCCCCCATTTGTTACAACTATCTAATTTCTGACTTATTTATAGCATCCCCCCTGCCCCCATGTAGATCCACCCATGTTATGGGATATTAATCAGCTAAACACCTGGTTGAAGAGGAACGATTTCACCTCGCGCCTAAAGGTGTACAAAGAAGAAGAAGATTTATTGCATTGCATTCAAGTATAAATGTTGCATTAAATACCATAAATGTAGGGTTGTAATTTATGTTGTGCGTGGCGATCACTTGTCATTTCCCCCCATGTTGAAATGTGTTTGTGTACATATATAAACAGAATGTGTAATATAGCAAATAAAATTAATTTTACTACACCATCAGGAATGCAGAATGTTTCATGTCTGGTAGATGCGGGAATTGAAACAAAATGGTGGATCCAAATGGCAGGTTGGTACTGGAGACAAGCCTTGCCACTTTTCAGCTAAGTCATGCCTGAAAGAAGGGATGGTGTAGAAGAGGGAGATGAAACCACAACACGCCAATGAAACCTGCATCCATCCTCTTCCCCTCTTTTCAGTTCGGCTCTTAGGAAACCTTGCTGGTTGCTTAGTTTTGCAGCTTGAACCCTTGCCTAACTCCATACGTGTTTACAAACCAAACTAAGTTGAGCCTGGTTCTCCTTTTCATGAAAGATTCAGAAATGCCAGGCCGATTTGTGATACAAACCACTACAGTACACAGAGGTGCCAACTTGCACCAAAGATTGAGGGGGATGGGTGACGTCACCCACATGGCATGCAACGCGCAATGTCACATGACGTTTCAGGAGGAGCCAGGGGATGGAGCTGAATGCAGAGGCCGAGGGCTCTTCCTGTCTCAACGCTATGCAGTTTTCCATGGCAGAACGTGGAGCCAGTCACTAAAGCCACGCTCAACTCAGCTTCCTCTGCCCTGACAGTAGGGAACACTGGGGGGCAGCCCCCAAAATTATTGGGGGGGGTGCACCAGCAAGCAAATAGCACACAAGGTTTGAATAGCAGGGAGCCATTTCCCATGTAGTAAATAGGAGTTCTATGAGCTTCCAAGGGATGTGGGTGGCGCTGTGGGTAAAAGCCTCAGCGCCTAGGGCTTGCCGATCGAAAGGTCGGCGGTTCGAATCCCCGTGGCAGGGTGCGCTCCCGCTGCTCGGTCCCAGCGCGTGCCAACTTAGCAGTTCGAAAGCACCCCCGGGTGCAAGTAGATAAATAGGGACCGCTTACCAGCGGGAAGGTAAACGGCGTTCCGTGTGCTGCGCTGGCTCACCAGATGCAGCTTTGTCACGCTGGCCACGTGACCCGGAAGTGTCTCCGGACAGCGCTGGCCCCCGGCCTCTTGAGTGAGATGGGCGCACAACCCCAGAGTCTGTCAAGACTGGCCCGTACGGGCAGGGGTACCTTTACCTTTATGAGCTTCCAAAGCTTGATATCCAATTCCCATATTTCATGCAGTAAAGAAGAGTTCTATGAGATTCCAATGCGGGTGGCACTGTGGGTTAAACCACAGAGCCTAGGACTTGCCGATCAGAAGGTCGGCGGTTCGAATCCCCATGACGGGGTGAGCTCCCATTGCTCAGTCCCTGCTCCTGTCAACCTAGCAGTTCAAAAGCACGTCAACGTGCAAGTAGATAAATAGGTACTGCTCCGGCGGGAAGGTAAACGGCGTTTCCGTGCTCTGGTTCGCCAGAAGCAGCTTAGTCTTGCTGGCCACATGACCCGGAAGTTGTACGCCGGCTCCCTCGGCCAATAAAGTGAGATGAGCGCCGCAACCCCAGAGTCGGCCACAACTGGACCTAATGGTCAGGGGTCCCTTTACCTTTACCTATGAGATTCCAAAGCTTGCTATCCTATTCCTACATTTGATCCAACTAAGTAAACAATCCTATCCACAAGACACTGGTGTAAAGCAAGTCAGTATAAGTTAAGCTGATGTAAATTTACAGTGGATCCAAACTCTGTTCAGTAGTGGGAGTACTGCTGGCTGAGCAGTCCTAAGGCTGGCAGAGGGAAAACCAGTCCTTAAAATAGTGTTTGAGTTATACCACCTTTTTCGCCAGCTTAATTTACACTGGATTTCCAGGTCTGACCTGAATGGGCTTAGGATCAAGCCTAACCACACCCTCTCTGGTCCAACCCCAGAATGCCCCTTTCCCAAGCCTTATGCCAGTTTACGATTTGCTTTGTCCCATCTGAGCTCGGATAGAGGAGATATGTTGACATATCTCTCTGACTGTGCCAAAGATGAGGGATCTAATCTGGTTTAGTCTGACTGTGCCAGGAACCTCCCAGGTCAACTGGATATTCACTAGATTCCAACCCTCTCATTCCAGCAGATCTTGCTATAGGATTGATCTCTAAATGTGTTATTTGAAGAACTTTTTCCTCTTTCAGACTAATGCAGAACTGCTCTTATAACAAACAAACAAAATAGTTTAGTAATAGCTCTGATAATACAAGGTAGCTGACAGTCTTTCAGCTTCGCAGCAGACAATGCTGTCAGTTGATAGAGGCAGAAAGGATGGGCAAGATGTTGAAATGGAGGATATAAAAGAGGAGAAGTGAAGGTTGCTCTGTATTTATTGCTACAGAACTGTGTCTTCACAAACACCACAACCTGTCAGAGGAATCGCCGATAGCATAGCAGCTGCAGGTACTGTGACATTTTAAGCTTGTAAACTTGTTTGCCATGAAACCTTAAACTTGGGTGAAAAGGGCAAAAGATTGCTATCTATAATGTGAAAAAGCAACGTTGCAGTGTCAGATATTCCTTGTGCTTATAACGGAAGAGCAGGATTTAATTTGCTTATTAAAGTGCATAAACAATTGGCAACAGTGCCTTCATGTTGTCAAGTAGATTAATGCTAAGCAAGGATATAGGGTGACCAGGATGCCTTGGCTTATAAGTAGAAAGGTGAAACTTCAAATGAACAAAGATTGATAGATGATAGATAATTTGCTTTTTCTGGGGGGATGCAGGGGGATTCTAGGTAAGGGCTAACGGTCCCCACTGCAGCTCCCCGGATAAACATATGTGCCAAATAGGACCAAAACAGCTATTTATGATCTGCAACATACTGCTTTTCAAACTCCCACTAGCCTCTCAACACAATTTCTCAAACGACTTGAGAGGCTGTTGCTGTTCAGTAGATTGCAAAATACAAGGACCTTGAGCTCACTGAACCAACTGCAAGGCTCTGTGTACCCTACTTCTCCACGCTGCACCCATGAGGCAAGGTGAGGCAAGGTGCCTCAGGCGGCAGGATCCGCAGGGCAGCAGAACCCAACGTAGATCTTTGTTCCTGATGTAGATCTTCACTCACCCCTTCTTCCCTGGCGGGGGGTGGGGGTGCCATTTTGTGGTTTGCATCAGGTGCAAAAATGTCTCAGGCTGGCCCTGGCTGCAACTGCAAAGGAGAAAGTGTCTCTAACTTACCATATGGATCATCCACACCGTGTAGGTTCTCTGTGCTACCACCAGAGGTTGCTGGTAATTGCTAATAAATAACATGGAAGTCTTGCCATATGGCTCAGGTCAACTACATTCTTCATGCACACAGCAGGCAGAAACTACCAAGACAGTTATTTTCAGGCGGTTTTCAAAGGATGTGGTAACACGTATGGTTGCACATTGCATCACCAAACAAAAGAAAGATTTTAACTGCTTCAGAAGCTCCTTGATGAACTTAATGCGCTGTAATTCTATGTATTACAGACCACGTATGTTCCTTCACCTCTCTTAAGGTATACTGCATTGAACTTGCAATTTATTTATTTTATTTGTTTTATTTATGCTTTTCAGAATTATAAATTTTACTAATTTTACAATCATTTTAACATTTCAAAACTTGACTTCCTTCCCCTTCTTTCTGTGGTTCCTTAAATTTATTTTTAATATCTTCTGCATATCCAAATTAACTCAATTTGCTTTTTTATTCATCTTCTTTAAATATACACTAGTACCTGTTTACAAACTTAATCCGTTCTGGAAGTCCGTTCTTAAAGCGAAACCATTCTTAAACCGAGGAGCGCTTTCTCTAATGAGGCCT